ACCATTTATGTGTTCTGGCTCTATATTTAGTAGCTATAAATATATTTTTTTAAGTCTTTTATGTATATTTAATGGGATATGCATACCTAATTCATATACTTAATATAAAGGGCAGTTTATGCCTAAAATATATAATCACCACATATTTTAGCCTAAAATACTGAAGCTATTAAATGCCTGAGTTGTATAGTTGATGTATAAAATATAAATTTTAGGTATACAAAATAGTGATTCACAAGTTTTAAAGGTTATAACCCATTTATAGTTGTTATAACATATTTGCTATAAATGTCTGAGTTTTAAAAATAATTAAAAGAGATGTGTTCATTACCCTCCATTGCATCAGGAATGAAGTATTCCCAGATATCCTACTTTAGTCCACAAAGTGATGAATAACTTCTGTTTACACTCAGAGAAAAACAAGTGAGAAAAAAACCTGACAAACTTCCTGATTGAAGGTGGCAAATGTTTTCAGTTCTCTGGAAGGAGTGGGTCTTCTCCATTAGTAATCCATGGTAAATTTCACTGAAACTTTTTGGTTAGAATTGATAGCTTCTGCCAGTAATAAGCCAAGCAGTAAATGTTTTCCACTTTTTCTTAGAATTATTTTCATCTTTTATACGTGCTGAATTGTGTGTTTCATGAAAATATGGCTAATCTCTATGATTATGTCTTACAAATTTCTTCTCACCAACCTTTACCCTATTCTGTTTCTTTCCAGCAATTTGAATATGATTTTCCCCACTGAAATGTTTTTCCACATACAGAAAATGGGAATTTTATTCTTTTACCCAGTACTAGTTACTCCTTTTAAAAGAGAACACTTCTCTAAGTGGAATAATTACATAGTAGTGTCGCACACCTTACCTGTAGCTGCTGATGGTCCATTCCAAGGTGCATCGCGAGCACGGCGTAGGGTAGCCAGCGGGCACATCTGAGGAGCGGAGGGCAGTGACCTGACTTGCCTGGGGTAGGCAGTAACATGAACACGCAGTTGGCACTCGCTGAGGGAAGAAGTTGCAGTAAGCCCTTTGCGACATGGCAGTGCGTGACAGTGCTGTGGTTCTGCTTTTCTTTGTCAGGCTCGTCACGTTTAATCCTGTAGTGATGATGAATGATGACGTGTGCTGTGGGAAAGGACACCTGAGGGTTTTCTGATGAAGCTCTGTGTGGCAAAATATAGAATTACAGAATTCAGGGTTGAAACACTTGTATTTTGTACTCATCTGTATTTTATCAATAAGAGGCTGTTACGTTTATTGACTCCTTTTGTTTGCTGACCACCCAGACAGACATGTTAGTTTAAAAGTGCCTGTCTTAAAAAGAGAGCAAAAATTAGCTCTCCCTTAGTTTTCCAGATTCCCCTTCCTGGAGATATTCAGAAATAAGTCTTAAAAGGAAAATAAGAATAATGTAAATCAGATATGAATAACCGTTTTTCAGGTTCTACACATAAGCATGGATTGCTGGATGCGTGAATATCTGGGTGGAATTTGACATTAAAATAAGGACACTTGTTTATGTAACTGACTGTTGTCAAGAAAGCGGAAATATATAAAATTTTCATTTTTTAAGCTGAAACTTTGTCATAAAAAATGACATTTATTTCATGTTTGTAAGTCAGACCTGTAAATGTATGTCTCACTTGTGTTTACTGTTCTCAATCTCATTATCCACTGCCTGTTATCTTGCTTCCACAGCTTTTGCTTCTGTCCCTCCTTGATATGAAGAGACTATCTTAGCTTTCGGTAGTTTAAGATTCCTAGTTGGAATCTACTTGAATAAATCTAGTTGAATAAAATAAACACCAATACATAAAAGGAAGTATCATTTTTCACTTAACTTTGAAGAGCTGCCTTTTTTTCTCTATGGCTGTTTATTTCCACATTTTAAAGTTTTTAAAAATTATCTACCATTCATGTCTATAAGATTCTTTTCCCCACCTGTCTTCTGTATTGAGTTTTAGCATGTAGGCTGTCCTCAGCTTCATATGGGTAATGGAGAAGTAGCTTCTCATTTTGTGGGTTTTTTTTTTGTTGTTCTTGATAACTTTATAACCATTTATTTTAAAAAAATCAGTGTGTCTTGGATTACTTATATTGCATAATTTTATGTAAAATACTTTTAGATAGTTTATTTTTAAATTGTTAGACTAATGTTTTAAAAAATTAATAGACTAAGATTTTTGAAGGAGCTTTGCGTTTACAGAAAATTGAGCACTGCCCCTCCACCCATAATGTCCTGTTACTTACATCTTGTATTAGTGTGGTGTGTATGGGTGCTCAGTTGTGTCTGACTCTTTGCGANTCCACTGTCTCCCCATCTATTTGCCATGAGGTGATGGCTCCATAGTTCTTCCTTTTTCAGAATGTCTTTAGTGGGAACCATGCACTGTAACCTGTTCAGATTGGCTTCTTTTACTAAGAAGTATGTATGCATTTAACTTTCCTCCATGTCTTTTCTCAGTTTTGTAGCTCATTTTTTTTTTTTTGCAGAATAATATTCCATTGTATGGTTATACAACAGTTTGTTTATCCAGTAACCTTTTGATGAACATCTTGGCTGTTTCCAGTTTGGGGAAGTTATGAACAAAGCTGCTACAAACGTTCATGTACACATTTTGTTATCATTTCTGTTCCATTGATCTATTTATCTTTCACCAGTACTACATTCTCTTGATTATTGTAGCTTTATAGTGTGTTTTGAACTCTGATTCTGTCAGTCCTTCCACTTTGTTCTTCTTCTTCAGTGTTTACTCGTTGATAGACATTTGAGTTGTTTATGCCATTTGGCTATTGTGAATAATGCTTCAGTGAATGTGAATGTGCAAGTACTATTTTCGTTCCTCCTTTCAGTTGCTTTGGGTTTTTACATAGGAATGGAAGTGCTGGCTCGCATGGTAGTAAGTTATTTCTGTACTTTTAAATTACAGCAATCTAAGTGTAGGTAAGATGGCAGGCAGCTCATGGTGGTTTTGATTTGCACTTCCCTGATGACTAATGACAGTGTGTTTATTGGCCATTTATATATCATTTTTGGAGAATTATCTATTCAGATCCTCTGTTCCATAAGTGAGGCCTAGGCAGAAGGAAGCATCTGTAATAGAATGTGGGCATGTAAAATAATGTCAAATCTGTTATCACTTTACTTGTCCACCTGTTTACATAAGTCTAACCTTTTCATATCCTCACAAACACAATGTTGTGTTTTATGCCTAATCAATTAATTTTGGTTTGTTTTTTACAACACAGGATTTTAACTTGAATTTCCTGAAAACTCTATAGTGTACTATATTATAGTATAGAGTTATACTAAAAAGTAGCATTAGGTCATAAATTAAAAAAGAAGCTTCAAATATAACCAAATATATGGCTCAGTGGTAAAGAATCTGCCTGCCAGTGCAAGAGATACAGGAGACGCAGGTTCAATCCGTGGGTTGGGAAGATCCCCAGAGAAGGAAATGGCAAGCCACTTTAGTATTCTTGCCTAGAATATCTCGTGGACAGAGGAGCCTAGTGGGCTATACAGTCTATGGGGTCACAGAGTCGGACAGGACTGAGTGAGCATGCGCACGTGTGAATTTTATGTTTAAAGATGGAGAGTAAAATTTCAAGTAAGTGAAGAAAGAATGAGCAGTCATACTTTTTACCCCTGTTCTCTGCATCATTACTGGAAGGTGTGAAACAAGGGCCTACTCCTCCTTAACTCTGAACAGCTCACTGTTTGTCTTCACATTACCAGACTCATTTTTTAAGCCATCCTTTACATACCTTGCCAAACAAAGTCCAGAATTCCTGGATGAGGCCTCGTCCGTCCCCATACCTAACCCCAGTATAAGTGCTGTGGGCAGTGGGACAGTTTCTTCCTCGAGCTGGTACTCCCTAATTCTCCTTCCCTGTTTGAATCTTCTCTTTAGCATTCATTGTACTTAGTAATGTCTAAAAAAAGTTTTACTCACTTGGTCTTTTCTACCTTGAGTATAAGCTACATGAAGGCAAGGATTTTTGGTTGTTTTCTTCACTGCTATATTCCCAGCCTGTCTACAAGTAGGTTTTCAGTAAATAATTAAGGAATAACTAACATAATAAATAATAAAGTTATGAATTAACTTTGTGCAGTAGCTGCTATTGGAAAAATGTTGTTAGGTCCTTAACTCACATGATTCACAAAAGGAAATTCCACTTGGGAGGAAGCCACAAAACCTAACAAAACAGCTTATAAAGGCTTTCGAAGCAATACATGTTCTTAGAGCATGGAATCCATTGTTAGATGCATGTAGTTTTAAGGAAAAAATTCATTTGATTTATAGCTGACAACTAAAAGCTGGCACTGTCAACTTTCTTTTTTCCCTAACAAGCTGATTTATTGAATTTTGCTTTTGATAAACTGTGGCTGTATCTATCATTCTGTTTTACCTAAGATACAATGGTTTCCTTTCAATTTAATTTGAAAAATATATTTCCATGTCATACTAATAAATGTATTTACTGCCCTAATATATTATTTGGACTGTTTAATCATTTTTATCTGTGATATAACTGAGTAGTTACTTGGGACCTCCCTGGTGATCCAGTGGTTAAGCATCTGCCTTCCAATACAGCGGACACAAGTTCGATCTCTGGTTGGGGAGCTAAGATCCCACGTGCCTTAGGGCCACTGAGCCTGAGCACTGCAACTAGAGAACGCCAGCGCCACCGCTACCGAGCCGGCGCCCACACTGAAAGACGCCCGTCCAGTGCCGCGGAGACCCAGCACAGCCACGAACTGTGGCAAATTACTTAGGTTTCTTGCTGTCTCCCAGCTCTGTGCCCTGTTCATTTTGTTGTTGCTGTTCCCTGAGAGTTCCTCTTACATTCTATACAATGATGCTTCACAAACATCTACTTCAGTCCATTGGCCAACCTACCAGTTAGTCCCAAGATTGAAGTAGAAGCTACATTGCTGTGGACTTAACTTTTGTACTGCGCATGTGCTCATTTTGTACTTTTCCTTCTTAACAGTTCTCGACATGGCAAGACACGTGCCGCTCTATCGCGCTCTGCTGGAGTTGCTCCGGGCCATTGCTTCCTGTGCATGCATGGTGCCCCTCTTGTTGCCTCTTTCTGCAGAGAATGGGGAAGAGGAGGAAGAACAGTCGGAGTGTCAAACTTCCGTTGGTACCTTATTAGCCAAAATGAAGACCTGTGTTGATACCTACACCAACCGTTTAAGGTACTGTTCATTTCTTTTGACCTTGGCTTTTATGATCTTTTTAAAAATAACTTTGTTCATTTAAAAAAAATGATATATGCTGATTAAATACACGTATACACAAGCTAGTAATAAAACTATGAAGAAAAAGTATCCACGAAACCCTACACTCAAATGTTTAGTCACAGTGGCTTACCAGACATCTCCATCTGAGATCTTAGAGCTGTAGGTAGAGTTTTTGTTAAATGTTATCACATTGTACCTATTATACAAATAGATGCTAATTTCACTCAATATTGAGGTAGAAGACACCTTCACTCTCAGTAAATACATATTGCTAATATTGTTCTTAATATTACTTACCCATCTTTTCGTGGACATTTGGGTTCTTTCTAATTTGTAACAACCTCTTACATCTTTTGGGATCTGTAGAAATTTCTGCAGAGTAGATTCATAGAATTAGAACTGTTGGATTTATGGACTACTACTATTTCATTTTGATATATACATTATAATGTATGCTATAATGTTTTTGAGAAGAAGAGGATTTATTTGTTGGAGTTAAAGTTAGTATTTTATCTTCATAGAAAATTGAATTTTTAAATGAATCTTTGGTTTAAGTTTATACCTTGCTAGAAATCAGATGATGAGTTCTCTCATAAAAAACTTTAAAAATAACCTTTTCCTGGTAACTTTTTCCATTCTCTTAGCAGAATCTGTCTAGTGGTTGTTAGTTTCACTTAAAAGAGATGGCATAAATTCTGATGTTTGCATAAAAATTCAGAATTAGGCTAGAGTAAGTTTATTCCTTTCTTAGTGGTCTTTTGAATCAGTTAATCTTCTTTTTCATCTTTGCAATGTGTTTGTCTTACATGTTCTCACTTAATTTTTTAATAACCTAAAATTTGAGAACCGCAGAACATCAGATGTTGTCAGAGAATTAGTCATTGGAGGAATGTCAGCCTTCATTTCTCAGAAGAAATCGACTTCTCAGATTATCCTGACTCTGTTAGTTTTATTGTATTATCATTATTTAGAAACTGGTGGCTCACTGCTGGGCAATAAGAATCATAAGTTAGAGAGGAGATTAAAGAAGAGCCAGTTGGTAGCAATATAAAAAGATATAGGTTCATACTTTTTCCAGGGAAGGAAAATGTAAAGGTATATTTTCTTTGATAGTGTGAGGTTTTTTTCTGTTGTAGAGAAGAAAATAATACTGTCTTTGGTCTCATTTTTCATTACAGCAAAAGTCTTTGTAACTGGTAACCTAGGCAGCTAACATAATTATACAAAAATAATGTGGCATTATCAGGCTAAAGGTCTGATTTTCTTTTCTAATTGAGCTAAGTTACTGGAATGTTTACAATCAGATTGCGTTTTTTGCTACTTTATTGTATATAAATTAATGTATATTCTGTTCTTGAATTAATGTATATACTGTTCATATAACATGTAGTATAATTTTTTTAACTGCATAAAATGTATTAAGTAATGATTGACTAAAAATTTAATTGCAGAGAAGGATAACTGAATTTCATTTAACAGGAACTCTATTTTTCTACTTGGCTACCTGGGAAAAGATACTCTTTAAAATGTTTCAATAACAAAAAAAATAACACTTCAAACTTCTAAATTCTTTACCAGCAAAACATGCATGTAAAGATCATAATGACTGTTCACAGAGATCATTTCATTTTTTATCTTTACAGTAACCTTGTGCAGTTAACTTTTTAAAAGCTATTTTACTGACAAAGAAACACTGACAGAGTTTTACATAGAGTTTGAATATGCTTCATGAAGATCCCTCATCGTATCTGTTATTTTTTTACATATATATATAAAATACAGCCTCTGTTAGAAAAAGAAGCTAACAAAGATGTACATATTACAACATTCTTACTTTCCGTTCAAACTTGGCACCTTGAGGACTCATTTTCCACTTCCCAGAAGGGAAAATCTGCTCTTTTCCAGCTTGTCAAAACTTGATACACTTCTTTTGATATTTTCATCAGTATAGAACTCTAATAAAGTGAACAGTGTAGTACAATTTCCTGCAAAGTTTATACTCACTGAAGTTGAACTAAATTCATTTTTAACACTGTTTCGAGATTCAAAGCTTCCCCCTCCCACTCCCTTCTACCTGCCTCCCAACCCCCAAGTGTATTTAAAAAAACAACAACAGGAAACCAGGATACTCAGAAGAGAATGGTCAAGGCAAATATGTTGTTTACGTATGTATCATTTTTAGAGCATGTCTGGTGCTTCATCAGGTTTGTAGTTAACCGTTTTGAAAGTAATGTGTAGGTGTACCACAGCTCAGAACATTTTTACATTATTTTTGTCTCTTTTTCTCAGTAAGAAATAAGTGGGTAGGGTGCTGTGCCTGTGGGTGATTCCTTGTGAAGTCCTGGCCATGTCTGCACCTGGGGGCTCTAGGAAAAAAATGTTAGGGTAAATAAAGTACATCTATTTGGTAGATGTACTACTTTACTAATTATGTTCATATATTTATTATATTGCCTTTTTTTTGGTCTTATTTCTCATTTGTTACTCTTTGTTTTTCCTTTCTTAAAGCCAAGTTTACATAAAAGGCATGCATTTTATTTTTCCTTCCAAATGAAATTTTAATTTAGCACTCTGGTCATCTTAGATAAAGAAAAAATAGATTCTCTATGTAATTTGCAGGTCTCTGGATGATAACTGTGCTTACATGTAATAATTTACATTGAAATTATTTTCTCTATATATGTTACACTTACAGTTTTTATGTTTTGTGGATGAAGGAGATTAAAAGGTTTTGCCCAAGTCAAAAGTTTACTTTCACTGGTTGGAATAACCTAGTTAAGATTAGTCTATCTTGAGGACAGTACATAAACTCAGCTAATGTTGATCTCAAAGCTCAAAATAATGATGGAGATTATGTAGGTTTGCTGGCTCTCCCACCTCAAGCCTGCAACTTTCTATAAGTGGAAATAGGAGAATATTATTAAGACATTAAAAAGACAGATCATTTATCTTTCTTGTATCTAATTTGTGTTTTAGAAACTTGCAGTTATAATCAGATAGGGGAGATCTGGCTTGGTCACAAGAGCATTTTTTTTTGGTCTTATTTCTCATTTGTTACTCTTTGTTTTTCCTTTCTTAAAGCCAAGTTTACATAAAAGGCATGCATTTTATTTTTCCTTCCAAATGAAATTTTAATTTAGCACTCTGGTCATCTTAGATAAAGAAAAAATAGATTCTCTATGTAATTTGCAGGTCTCTAGATGATAACTGTGCTTACATGTAATAATTTACATTGAAATTATTTTCTCTATATATGTTATACTTACAATTTTTATATTTTGTGGATGAAGGAGATTAAAAGGTTTTGCCCAAGTCCAAAGTTTACTTTCACTGGTTGGAATAACCTAGTTAAGATTAGTCTATCTTGAGGACAGTACATAAACTCAGCTAATGTTGATCTCAAAGCTCAAAATAATGATGGAGATTATGTAGGTTTGCTGGCTCTCCCACCTCAAGCCTGCAACTTTCTATAAGTGGAAATAGGAGAATATTATTAAGACATTAAAAAGACAGATCATTTATCTTTCTTGTATCTAATTTGTGTTTTAGAAACTTGCAGTTATAATCAGATAGGGGAGATCTGGCTTGGTCACAAGAGCATGACTGATTTTGCTCCTTCAACAGATATTTATTGAATGTTCATCAGAGCATAACAAGAAAATTAGGCCTTTTTCCAAGGGGCTGACAAATAATATGGGAAACAATAATTAGACAGTTTTAATAACAAGTACATGATATATGGAAAATTTAACACATTATTGGAGCATCAAGACAGTTTTGGAAACCCAAAGAATATGTAAGAATTGGCTAAATAAGAGGGTGTGCCTGGGTGTCCTTTGGTTGGGAGGTGGGGGTGGGAAATGAGGCTGGAGAGGAAAACGGGGGCTTGAAGAACTTCCTGGATGTGCTGTTGCGCTCAGTTGTGTCCATCTCTTTGCAACCCAAGGACCGTAACCCACCAGGCTCCTCTGTCCGTGGGGATTCTCCAGGCATGAGTACTGGAGTGGGTTGCCATGCCCTCCTCCAGGGGATCCTCCCAACCCAGGGATCAAACCCAGGTCTCCCTCACTGCAGGCGGATTCTTTACTGACTTAACCATCAAGGAAGCCCAACTTCATAGGTACCTGTTTCTAGATGTGTTGAGCCCTTGAAAGGATTTCAGCAGAGATCTATTCAGATTTGCATTATAAAAAAAGATCATCTTGCAGTGTAGCAGAATGGTGGGGTGTGAGTTAAAAGAAGACTGAATTGCCACAGAAGAGATTTTCTTCCTTTCTGTCTTGGCAGTTGAGCTGTGTGTGTCCTCTCCCATCCTGCCGTTCTGGGACTGAGGATTTGAGTCCATTAGGATTCTTGCTCTAATATTGTGGATTTCATAAAGACAGTTAGTTCCTGGGTAGAAATACTTTCTATGATTCAGATGTTTGACTTTGTAAAAGCAATAATGTAACTCAGGCTTTAAATTAACTATTAACTACATTATTCTGCCTATGTGTTAATCTCAGTGGCTGCAAATTTATCCCTAGGGATCTCCTTCAAAAAGGGCAAGTGCTATAGGACAAATGGTTTCCTTTGTTAGTATACAGTAATCTGAGTCTGTAATCCTACGCAGAAATTTTCCAGTACTAATCCTACTGGGTTGTTTTACTGAAGACAGAAAGCAATCATCTCTTGGCTTTAAAGAAACTAAGAATCGTTAGCAGAGATTCTAAAATCTTTTTCTTTTTTTTTTTTCAATTTTCGGCCGTGTTGGATCTTCATTCTGCACAGGCTTTTTCTCTAGGTGTGATGAATGGGGGCTACTGTCTAGTTGTGGTGCGCAGGCTTCTCGTTGTGGTGGCTTTGAGCGTGGGATCTAAGGCCTGCAGCCTTCAGTAGTTGTGGCACGTGGGCTCCACAGTTGCAGCTCATTTCCTTAAAGCTGTCATCTAGCTAAAGTTGTGTATATGTAGAGA